CAGAAGCAAATTGGTAAGACTTTTTGCATGCTAGGCTTGTACTTATCCTTCTGGTTTTCTGACAAGTGAAGCAGAGTAGATTTACAGCCCACAGATCTTCTAGATAATTGAAAACATACCAGTCTGCCCACAAGAACTAGACTAACTTGTGCGCCTAGCAAGATAGCTCATCTGTTTTAAAAAAAGAAACCAAAAACCAAAAAACAACAACCCCAAAACACTAAAGAGGCTCTTTTGGCTTTGGAGTTGAATCTAAGTAAAGCCACGCCCTTCAGGTCTATAGCTTTCATAGCTCTGGTTTGGTTTTATTTTATGAGTGGATTATCCTGTCTAGACTCCTGCTTTGACTTGGAAGCCAAAATAGAAGCAATAAAGCTAGTTGGCTGCTTAGCGGGTGACAAACCTTCTCTGAAGTCCTCTAATTTGTTAGGCCCCTTTTCTCCCCTGTGCTCCCTCTCCTGTTTGACGATACCTCAGTAAGTTTTGTGAGTTGCAGATACAGCTCTGCTAAATTTAGCATGCCAGATGCCTTCAATAAGCCTGAGCCCAGCTATCAGTTACACCGAGATCTGTTTCAGTCAGGCACATCCCTCTGGGGAGAGACTTGCACTATTTAAAGTTGAATGAGACTGAGATTCTTACAGCATTAAGAAACTTGGAATTCCCCCTTTTTCTCCCTGATGTTGGTTCTAAACTGGTGTTCCACACTTGCTATTCGCTGGGACTGAATTTGTGTTTCCTCTTGAACTGTCTGGAAATCGGCTTCGTCTTGAGCTATCATTCTGTATAGCAGTTCTCCTTCGGTATACGTCGAGAGGCAAAAGGCAGCCTTAGCATAAGCAAACGCTAATGTCTTGTTTAGCCTGTGTTACTTCCAGTCTGAATGTAAGACATTCTAGGAAAACAGTGTTCAAATCACAGCCCTGTAGTAGGCTGCAGATAGAGGAATGCAGCTGCAGTAGGACTAATTGGATTGCATTTGGTCCTACAAAAAGTGTGAGGTTTTTTCTAGCAAGTGCTTGAAGGATCTTAGGGCACTGGTGTGCCAGAGCAGGAGTGTTAATGCTGATGTTTTGGGCATTCATCCAGTTTCAGTAACTCCTGCATGTCACCTCACTAACATCCCACTTCCGTTCGGATTTTGTGGATCACTCTTCACTTCTACTCTTACATAGCTGGGCAGTGTTGCTGTGCACTTTTAACGAACAGCAGCCTTATGCACCAGAAACTGGTTCCCTTCACTAGTGAAGTCTCAGTGCGTTTTTTCCTCAGTAACCGAGTCATGGTATGTTGCAGTTGTGAGAAATGCAAATGTAGTCCTAGGATATGTCAGGAAAACGTTTCCGATAGAGATGGGGAAAACTTACTGCCACTGTACAAGGCAACAGTAAGTATTTGGGGTGTTGTAAGCAGTTTTGGTTAGCCATGTTTAAGGAAAATTAACTTTAATCTGAAGGAATGGAAAGAAGAGCTAGTATGACAATAGTAGGAATTAAGAGCCAGTCTTAAAGGAGGAGGCCAGGAGCTTGGCTTTAGTTAGGAGAAGGAAAGTATAAAGAGGTCATGGTAGCTCTCTGAAAAGGCATGTGGGATAGGGTGTATTGGTACCCATCAACTACTGAGGCTAATGAGCAATGAGAGAGCATATGGGTAGAACTTGAGTACATTTAGGATGGAAATCAGAAGAAAGCCTAACTATGAGAATAATGGTAGCTTGGGAACAGCCTTGCAATGGAAGATGTTTAAGTGGCTTCAGAGGGCTGGTATTCCATCTAGGAAAAGGTATGGATTTGTAGAGCACTGTAGTAATAAGAGACCTGACACAATGAGGCAAGAGTCCCTCATTCCTCCATATTGAAAACAGTTGCTTGGGGTTGTGTGGCTGACTTGGTCCAGAAGCTTTGACACCTAAGTTGTACACCTAAGACTGTTGCATGCTCCACGGAGTGCTATTTGAGATGTAGGATGCCAGTAATAAGTGTGTATCTTCTTAGGAATATTATTGGAATAATAGAATAAAATAATCTGTTAAGGAAGGACACGTCCCTTCTGAGCACTGCAGGCTCTTTACACATCTTTATGTTCTCATATGCTAATTTGAGCTCATGATTTAATTTTTTTTCTTTGCAACAGCAGAGGATAGGTATTTCTGGTACAGCCTGTACTAAGCTAGAATGCACAGGACTGGCCTAATCAGACCTTAGCTGATACAGTAAACTTATGTTACTGATTTGGCTGAGGGGTAACTTGAAGAAGCAGGTCTACTTGTAAATAACTATTAAAAAACAAACAAAACAAAAAACCCCACAAAGCTATTTCCATTACTCCAGCGAAAGAAAGGAGTGACCATTTTGTGTCCTTTGTTACAGGTGCTTTATCTTGGACCTCTTGAGGCTGGGGTAGTTTTAAATCCTTAGGTTCAAAGTGCTTGTTCCGTAAATGATAAGGTGTAGCACACCTCATCTAGACACTGAATGATCCCTGTGCTCCTCTTGCACAGTACTTCCAGTTTAAACTGGGGTAAGCTGGCACTTCTGCTCAAGAACTGACCAGTTCTGCCTCTGGCAATTTTTTGTCTCTTCTTTATGCTGGCAGAAGACTTGTGTGATGAACCCAATCAGGGACTGATGTGGGTTAAAACTGAACTTTTCTTTTTTTGGCTAGGTTAGTTTTAATTGGGGTTGGTTCACCACATTGTTGCACAAATGTTTGTGCCAGCAAGAGGATGGAAATGAGTGGCTCGGGGACAGCAAGACTGCTGCTTTCGGCAGCAGTACCAGCTTTCCCATGTTTTTACTCGAGGCCCTAGTGGCACTTTTGCCGTGCTGTCCTCAGGCAAAGTGATGAACTCTTGTGATGTGGGTCTTCCTTTCCATGTCCTCATTTAGTTATTAAATGTTTTTGTGTGTAATAGATGTGGTGCTGATTTAATCAGCTAGTGCGATACATTAAAGTAATTTATGGTTTGAGTACATACTATTTAAACAGACATATTTAGGATATTGATTTATGCTTCCTGCAGTGTTTCTCAAACTTTTTTCATATTATCCTCCAGGATAAATTACTGGCCCTGGTGCAACTCTCGAGCAACGAGGAAACAGCTAGTGACAGAGCACAGGAAGCAGGCAGAAGGAGATGGCAGGAGGCAGCAATGAATGTGGCAAGTGGTGAGAGAGAGTGGGGGGGAGCCCAGGGGCTCGAGGAAATCTGTCAACAGTACCTTTTAGCCACCTACTACTGGATCTTGTTTCTGTGGCCTGATGCCAGCCTCAGAGGTGATGTCCTGGCTCAGCAGCTACAAGCAGCCTTAGGCTCTGCTTCTGCACTTACTTATTTATTCCCTGTCTGAAACCTTCTTGGTGAAGGTCCATCTTTGGTCCATGGTCCCTTTCTCAGCCATCTTGTCCTGGCTGCCCCTGACAATCTATCTTTGTCCTGTTGCACTGTCATCAGAAATATTCCATAGTGACCATCTTCTAATGCCTGATTCCTTGCTTCATCAGTAACTAATTAATTTTAAAATAATATTAGAAAACACACTACCTGATAATAGTCTATGTCAGAGATTTTTGCTCAAGCTTGCTTTATAACAAGTTTGCCGTCAGTTCATCATAAGAGTTCATGCTAGCGTTACTGATCTACTGAAGCTTGGATCTACTGATACAAAAAAAAGTATCATCAAGGTTAATATACTATTAAATCTTTTGGACAAGAGGTATAGGCTTTCAAGGGACTGAGTGTGAATGTGAGGTTTTTCTCTTCCCTTACTGACCTCCTACTCTGCAGCTAATCTGATCTAACTGGGCAGTTGAGACCTCCTCCCTTTGGTTTCCACTCTGATGCAGACTGCAGCAAAAGAGGCCCCTGGGTCTTCTCTTCACTCCTAGTATGAGATTATTGAGGTCCTCTACTCCAGCAAAACTCTCTCCCAGACAAATACACCTGGGAACCCAGGTGCCACAGTTTTATTCCTACCCTTTGTGAGAAAAGGTAGCAGCACTGCTGGCTGGGATGAGAGAAGGGCACAACTTGCCTTCTGTGTGCCTTAAGAAGCCCTGCCATGCTAGGCTGAACAGCTGTGCTAAGCTGGGCATAAAACAAGTATTACAGTTACCCCACCATCTAATAACTTTACTATCATTTGATAGCATGGTTGTTTACAATGGGAGTACTTCTGTGGTATGAGGAGATCATTCTTACTAGCTCAGTACTTACTTTATGTTGGACTATAATTATCAAAGGGGCTTGCACAAGTGGTGATACATGAAGAAAGGAATCTTGAGAGCAAAAATAATCTAGAAGATGGAAAAGGCTGTGAAACAAAGGGCTGGTGGTGGTAGGAGTCACGGAAAAGAGATACTGCAGACTATTTCAGCACAATATAGTGGTTTATAGCTAGAAGCTATATCCCATTGCTGTTGCTTGTGGTATGCCTGGGTGTTTTTAGATGGATGAGACGCAAGAATATGGAGACTGTTGCTTCTTCTGTCATTCTTGAGATCACTGTTGGAGAACATACTGTCCAGTTCTAGTGACATGTCTCTCAAGAGATTGCTGCACAATTGTGTAGAGCTCAGGGCAAACTACAAGGATTTGTGGCTTAGCAGTTGCCCTTGCAGTGAGGGGGGGGGGGAAGTTCAATCGACATGTTTGGTGTGGTAGGAGGAAGATGAGGAGCTGCCTGGAACAATTTGCAAGCACCCATACTGGCATGAGACACTTGACACCACAGGGCTTTTTAATCTCTCTGGCAAATGTGTGACGAAAGGTTAGACTTTGGAGTTGGCAAAGTTCAATATGTAAATGCCATCCATTAATTCTAAGTAGTTAGAATAATTAATTGGAACATATTAATCTGATGGAGAATTACAAAATCATCAATAGTCCATTAGTTAATGCTAGATGGTTCTCTAAAAGGTAGGCCCTACTTACAAATTGTTTAGCTTCTGTAGGGCTCACTAGGGAGATTGTCTGATCTGTGTCATACCAGAGAGCGGGCAATGGTGATCCTTGATACCTTTGCAGAACTGAAGACTGTATTCTTTGCTGTAAAAGAAAAGAAGAAAGTGGGTGTGATGGCAAGTTATGCTTCTTGAAGTAAATACTAAAGGCTCCATTCCTGTAGCTTTTTCTGATAGTTTTGCAGGCTGCAGTACAATGCCTAGAAAGCATTGTGTATTTATCAGCCATCATTGGTAGCGACAACTAAAACTGATATGGTATCTGGAGTACTAAGGGTACATTTAAGGGTTTTTGATGTATAATAAAGGTCAGTTAATAAAGCAGAGACAGATTATACTCCGCATTAGTTGGTACAGTTCTTGAGGAAAAAAGTTGTTGTTTTTAATACCTTCTTTGTTTTACTGTATTATTTAAGTTAATCTGCGCTGTTGTGTCCTAGGCATCAACCTATCTGAAAAAACCAAGCTGCCTAGGTGCAAGAGGCATGGGAGATGGAAAGCAGCTACTGCACATGACTAGAATGGACTTTGAAGCCTGGCGTAAAAGGATCTTTGAAAACTGCCTTTTTGAAAACAGAATTTGACTTTTTTTAAAAAGGCAAACAGTGTCTTTACCAATGTTTGAGAAGAAAACAATCTAGTTGCCTGTATGTGTTCAGTAAAACAAGGCTGAGATGAAACTAGAATTGTGCGCGTTTCTAACTCGACATGCATTGGCTTTGTACCTGCCTACGTATTCTGGTGACCATTTGGGAAAAGATTTTGATTATCTCGGGTTTTTAATTTTCATTCTTGTAGTCCTTGTTAAAACTGTCTACCTGCACCCAAGAAATTGGCTTGGGGAATATGAACAACTAACCAATTTTTTTTTTTATTATTATTTGCTTCTGTATACGTAGTGTTTCTGTCAGGAAGTTAGTCTTAGAAAAGGGAGAAGCTTGGTCTGTTTCTTCTCAGTATAATTCAGTGCAGTACTGGTATTTTAAGGTTGTGATTCTGCTCTTAGTCAACAGGAAGAATGACTTCAATTATGATCGTAATAGATGCATATATCACCTTGACGGTGGCACACTTGCATATTAACGGACTTAATAGGAGTTTGTTGCATATAGTATTGTTGCTTTTTAGAGTCAGCTGTCTAGTAACGACTTAGTCTTTGTCTAAGCATAAGCTTTATATTGATAGGTGGTAAAATTAAGGCTGTCTTTGAAGCATGGATAAGGACTTCATTTTCTTGATCTCTATTCTAGCCTCCTGACCCTCCCATCTTTTCTTTGTTGTTGGTTTTTTCCCCATGTGATCTTGATGATCAGTGAGGAAATTAATGGGATAAAGTTAAAGCTAATACTCGTACAGAGATCAGTGTTCTCCTGTCTCCCACCCAATAAAACCACGCATATACTATGGTATGTCAGTGTTAAGTGTGGCCTGAGAAACTTCTGACTGTATAGTACCAACTGAAATTGGGTTTGGGAGTTAAATCAGCCACAAACAGAAGACTTAATTGTATGCGTTGAACATTGCAGTTCAAATATGTACTGAACTGATTATTAGGTGGGACAGTTCTCTAAGCATAAATAAAATAATTAATTTTTGGTGTCCTTAGAAATTTCGCAGTGTGTCAGATGTTAAGCATGTTTTGATTTGTTCCAGTAGCCGGATCGAGCTGGGAGATGTGACGCCACACAACATTAAGCAGCTGAAGAGGCTAAACCAGGTCATTTTTCCTGTCAGCTACAATGACAAGTTCTACAAGGATGTACTGGAGGTTGGCGAACTAGCCAAATTAGGTACAAATGTTCTTGCCAGTAATTGTGGGCTATGGTGGCAGAAGTGCTCATCATTGCTATCCATAATGGTTTTGAATAGCAGATCCTTCTATTTTGTTGTTTTATATAATGAAAAATAACTTGTTTGGGAACCTCCGAAAAGCCTCAGTCCAAACCTCAGAGGATTTGTGTTCTAAATAGATTCCATTTTACTGGGAATAGGCATGTTTTCTGTTACAGCAGAAAACTTGAGAGATGAGTGCTGCCAGCTTACCTCCTGATGTCATTGCTAGTTGGTTTGAACTGTAATAAGCCAACCACTGTGTTAGAGCACCATTGGTAACTTCACTCAAAGCGGTAGCCACAATCTATGATTTTATCTGGATGGGAGAATTAGCAAGAGGGAAGGAAGGAAGGAAGATATAGGGCGTAAATGAAGGAGCTGTATGTACAGTTTGAGACTTGTGACTGTTAACACTTTGTTTCCCTCCCTGGCAGCCTATTTCAATGATATTGCAGTGGGAGCAGTGTGCTGTAGGGTGGATCACTCCCAGAACCAGAAGAGACTATACATCATGACACTCGGATGCCTGGCACCCTACCGAAGGCTAGGAATAGGTAAGGAGGATCTTCTTTTGTATCTGAGTCATCAAAGAAACCAGATTGCTGTGCAGCCTCCTAAATGCTCTGTCAGATTTTTAACCAAGACAGTACACTTTCAGACCACTGATTTCTTTGGAAGGGACTTTGGGGAAAGAGTATGATTTATGATATGCTCTTTTTTTCCTGCCTTTCAGAAATTGACTTTTTGTAGAACTTTCTAATTCAGGATTTCAGATTATTTTAATCTTAATCACTCTGCTTCTACAGAAAGTGAAAATTGATGCACAGAGATACGAAATAATTTGTCAGAGGTATGCAGCCAGTGTACAAGTCATGTATAAGTAGAATACAACATTCCTTCATTGGTTTATCTCTTCACTCTTCTAAATTAAGTTTTTTTCTATTTATTTTGTCTTTATCACTACTGGTTATTGCTGCTCAGGGGTAGTACCTGCTTTCTGTCTATACAGCAATTAGTTCTTTTCTCCATGTTGCAAATTGATAGGCTGGATTAACCAAGACCTTACAGTAACCTGTTTGCTTTGACAAACTGGAATGAAAAGATAACTTTATTTTAAATTATTTTACTAGGCCTTTATTAGAAAAACTTAACCAATGCTCTCACTGCTTTATACATTGTTTTGACCATATTTTGAGGTGAGTTTGAGACCTTGAAGCTAGTATTTAAATAAGCTGCTTTATACGTATGCTTCTGGGCTGTTGGGTTTTTTCTCCAAAGAAACAAATTTTGTGAGCAGTCAGAAAGATAGTGAAATACTTATACACCATGTTCTATTTGCCTTTCCTAGCTCTCACAAGCTCTGTCATTTTAGCCTACCTACAGTTAATCTGCCTCTCCTCAAGAAAGCCCTTAGCTAAGTACAGACTTGATTTGCACTTCCTAGTTTTCTTAAGTATCTCTTTACCTTTCGGCAGGAACTAAAATGTTGAATCATGTCTTAAACATCTGTGAAAAAGATGGCACTTTTGACAACATCTATCTGTAAGTAAATGAGTTGCACTCGTGCATTTTTGGAGAGATGATAGAGGCATATATGGGAGCAAAGGGAGGGAGATTCAAGAGCATTTTTAGTATGTATTTCAGTGGGGTCATGGGACATCTTGTAAGTACTAGCAAGAAAGCTAGGGGTCATATTCTGGGCTGCTTGTGTGATGCTGAGAAGCTTGCTTGCTTTAGAAGGGCTTCTGCAAATTTGCTGAATTTGAAAGTAGTTTAGTTACAAAATTATGTTCTATAGCAGAATTACACTGTATGACTAAAAAAAAATTTTGTGATTTTTTTTTTTTTTACCATACAGTGTCATTCTCAGAATAGAAAATACTGCAAGTCCTGCATGCAGTTTTGATACATTTGTCTTTTATGACAGTATTATGTAGGTTAGAACATCAGATCAGAGGTGCTTGCAAGCACTCTATGTTCTCATTCAGTAGCAAGGCCCAACTGCTTATTCCCATTCTTGCACTGTGCCAGGTCAGCTGTTTGTGCAGCAACACAGTAAACTAGGTCAATGACCTGACCCAGCTGGGGAAGCTGTTTTCGGTTTTGTTTCTGGGTTGTTTTTAGTTTTAGTGTGTTCTGGGGGTTTTTTTGGTTTTGGTTTTTATTTTAAATCAACTGCATGTCTACATAAGCGCTTGGCATGATGCAGACATGAGAACAAGCACTGGGGTAGAGGACAGGGCTGTTTAAAAGAGCACCGCCATCCTAATAGATCCCCATGGAAACAGAGCCTGAAATCCATAGATGCCAAAGCTTTGCTTCCCCTTTGCTGCTGGCTGCGCACTTCTGCTTCTTCCTGTGCATTGGTGTCTGTGTGAATACCAAGTGAGCTGATGCAGTTTTTGGCCAAATCGCTTCTCTGAGCCAGCTTCTTCCTTGTACGTCACTGCTTGCTTATACCAGTACAAGCACGGTGCACTGGTAGGGAGAGTCCCACAGCAGGTACAGCTTGGATGGACTTGTGCTGCCACAAAACTGCACCCTGAAGTCTTGCCAGGACTGTTGAAGATGCTTAGTGAGGAGTGTTTCGTACACTGATATCACTATAAATGGAGTGACTTTTTCCTCAAGCTTAGTCCACCTCTGCCAAGGAGATGCAAAGTCTTCCAAGACCTCTACTGTTGTAGCTTTGTGCCATCTCTGTAAGAGGAACAGGTGTTTTAAAGAGGCATTCAAGTAAAGCTGCTTTTGGCTTGTATTCCTGCTCTCCTGCCTCAGAAGAAGTGGTAATGAAGTCTCTGTCAGATGCCTGCTAGATGGCACAGGCTTTCCTTTTTGCTTTTGCACTGTGTGCACGGTGAAGGAACCGCGTGCTGTTTTTAATGCAAAAACCAAATCCTTCGTAATCCTTCTTTTCCACTTCCCAGAGTAGGTTTCTGGGATGACAATAAATAGCCCCCGAAGTTGGGCATAACAAAGTTCTTTTAGTGGCCCATTGATTTTGTTACTATGTCTGTTGCTTGTGCATCTTCTATATGAACATACTATGCAGCGGAGCACCCAGTTTGATATCGGTGCCTAAATTTGTCATTATGAAGTTCCCTTTTAGCTATTTGGTGTTTACTGGGCTTAACACTAAGGTCTTTTGTTTTGTTCTGCTGTTGCTTCCAGAGTTGCTTTGGTTCTACGGTTATGCAGCATGTTGTCATGACAAAGTGATTCATGAGCTTGTGCAGTGTCCACTGAATTTTGGGAGTGTTTAATGAATGCCTTTTGCTGAACCAAACTTTTTTTTTTCTGATAGAACTTGTGCAAATAAATGTCCTAGTCACTTAGAATGCAGAACTGATGGCTGTTTGTTTTGGAGGCCTTGAAACTCTTGAAATTTGCTAGCAAGATCTGGAAAACTCTGGGGGAGATAGATAAAAGAGGAAAGGACTTTGTAAGTCCATAGGGCTGCTTTGTGCTGCCATAGCTTTTTGTGAGGAGAGAGGGGTAGTTAGAAGAGAGCAAGGAGTTAAAATCGTATCAAGCACCATTGCCAGTTTTGTGTTGCAGCGTGTAGGGATCATTGCTTGGACAACTGTTCTGGTCATCTAAGAAGTGTCACTACAGGAAGTTAAAATTGGCTCTACAGTGAAACTTTTTGTATATTTCCACAAAATATCTGTCACTTCCAGATTAAGAAAAATTGAAATTACTGAGCTAGTAATGCTTCAGAGTCTGTCTGCTATTTGTGTTCCTTAAAAGAGCTTTACTGAGGGGAAACATTTGCCGCTTCTCAGAATGATTGCCACAGGCCATCCAGGAGCTGTGTGTTAGCTCAGGATTGATTTGGAAAGACCAAAATTTTCAGTCCTGAACTTACACCGTTGTTCCTGTCTCTATCTAGGTAGCTCCTTTTCTTATCTTGTCTTTGACCGTTCCAAGTGTGGAGGCAGAATACTGTACCGCAGAAAGTTCTGATACCTGTCTCTCTATCCTCCTTTCTGTCCCAGGCATGTCCAGATCAGCAATGAGTCCGCAATTGACTTCTACAGAAAGTTTGGCTTCGAGATCATTGAGACGAAGAAAAACTACTACAAGAGGATAGAGCCCGCAGACGCTCATGTGCTGCAGAAAAACCTCAAAGCCCCTTGTCTTGGCCAGAACGTAGATGTGCAAAAGACCGACAACTGAACAAAACCCCAACGAACACTTTCTTGCACTTGCTTGTCGCCAAATAAGGAAAGAGAGGCCTCTTGATTTTTTCTTTTTTTTTTTTTTTTTTTTTACCCCCCCCCTTCCTCCTTTTAATTTTTTTT